GACCACACCTGCAAGTGTTCGACGGGAATTAACTAGGCTAAAAGCGGGTGTCTGCAAATGTACTGAATGTGTAGAAGGGATTTGGCTATTCTGCACGTATTTTTCGGGAACTCTTTGTAAACGGAAGAAACCGCGGGGGGCAAGAAGCCAAGAGGACCGTCTCCAGCATATACACAGCCCAGCACCGACTGCATGTGTGCTTACAGAGGACAAGTATAACAACTTTCGGACTACGCCCTCCCCCTCCCCCCTCATCCCCTCCGGCCCCGGTGTACGCTCAGCGGGCACGCCCTACTGTAACTGTCAACTGACATACAACACCCACCCTAGGCGTCGTCTTGGGAGCACTTAATACGTGTGAGTAGTTAAAACGGGATGAAGGATGGCAGGTCGGGGGGAGGGGAGGCAAGCAAGATTAAAGCCTAGGGAATAAAAGCCCCCTGCAATAAAATGTCCGCACCACCCAACAAGGCGAGGCAGGTGGGGAGGCTGGAGGAGGGAAGAGGTGTGACAGCCGGCCAGTGGAAACTTACTTAGTAAGTTTTACTCCAACATTGCTGAGACCCATAGAGGTGGTGCAGGGGTCACGACCTATGGCAAATATAACCTGCAGACGAAAAAGACACCGTGAGGGATGACATTGAGACAGATTCAGCGGGGGGGGCAGATGGCGTATTCTACAGGAGCAGGCAGCTGAAAAGTCTAGGGCCTACCGTGTCAAAGTCCTCCACAAAGACCTGCTTTGATTCGTTCTGAAAGACTCCAGATACTTCATATTGATCCAGTTCGTGATTCTCCCCGCCTACGGACTCCTTCTTCTTGATCTGCAGGGAAGCGAGGGTAGATATACACATAAGGTTTGAAAAAAAACAGTCTGAAAAAGACTAAAATACAAATGGGGTCAACTACAAGACAACAAGGGTGCGAGCTTAAGCATCAGTGGCAGGCAAAACTATAAAAAGTGAACAACGGATGTCGGACAGACGTTGCCCAGACTCTGAGTAAGCCCAAGCAATAATTTACAAATTAATGTGGTTCTTATCACTGTACCTAATAATCTCTTAGCCGAAGGTAAATTATGTGCCCGCGCAAAAGGCCGCCGACAAGGAACAAATTAAAGACAACGCACTCATCTGTGCTCGTTATTAATGTACACCGAGACAACAGGGATAGTGGAAGAGCCACTGCAAACTACTAACGCACAAGCATATCTTCCTCTGTCAAAAATGAACAACATACCCCGGTGGGAATGCAGGGACGAAGGATACGAATGCCCGACTTCCCCATGTGTTCACCAATCATTTCGGCCATTTGTTGGTCAAAACCACGCAGGAATATAGAGCGCACCATTACGGTGACGTCAACGCCGATGCTATGTAGGAAGCCGGCACACTCAAGGGACACATAACTCGCACCCACGAGTAGAGCCTTCTTGGGTTTGTAGCTCAGGGAGAAAAGATCGTCGCTGGGCAGAGAAAATAAAATTTAAAAAAAATTAATCGTGAGCGACGAAGGTTCGCGTGTATCATGCACCCCTGCGACCTGTCCTTTTCCACGGCTGTGAATGCTGGGCTATGTGCGTAGAAAATGAAAGGAAACTGGAAGCATTTGACCACTATTGCTTAAGGACCATCCATCGAGTGAAGTACACCGACTACGTCCCATGTGAGACAGTCCGCACTCGCTGTGACGATACCGCTAGGGTATCTTAGGCTATCCAAGAAAGATGAATGAAATGGTTTGGGGCACGTTCGTCGTTGTCAACTTCACGAGATCAGTGTTACTGCCCTCGACTCGAGGCTGTTACCTAATTTGGAAACGTCGATGATGGGGTCAGCTCAAAACCTGACTTGAGTCAGTCCGTTAGGATATGGAAGTGGTTCCTGGAACTTCAGTAATCGGTCTCCAGCGGTGGCGCTGGCGAAGAGAATAGACTTAACTATCCAGGACTGCTGCCAAGGATCACCACGCGTGGACAAGTATCATTCGAGGCCGACTAGATCAGTCGTAATCTTAGCCGTAATAAGTAAGCATGAGGGACAGTAGGACAAGGCTCCTAGGGTAAACAAATACGACCGAGATACTAGTGAATGGGATGGGCAGAGGCGCCACAAATTTCTCCGAACCACTTTATAGAGTACCCAATCTCGAGCGAATGCTGCGTTCCTTCTTTAGCCTTCGTTCCTATCATCTGCGTTCCACACACTTGTTGTTTACACAACCAACGCAAGACAGATCTCATTCACTCAGATTTCGCAACGGCTAGTTGTCATGGAGCCCTAATAGGAAGAGCTCTTATTCCTAAGGCTTGAGTTACCTTGCCAGTTGGCAACCTTCCGGGCAAAATGTTTAGACTTCCGGAAGGGTCTTCAATTGTAGTCACAAGAAACAAAAAGAATGAACTATTTAGTGCAGGAGCGAAAGGAGCAAACGGCAAGAGGCAATGTGTGCAAACATTTTGAACATGCAGTACCTGGTGATACCGAACTCCTTGGCGCCAGGAATTGACGGGTAGCGCGGTCGTTCTCCTGTTGCCAAGGCGATGGTCCTGGCAGTGATGTTTTTGACAACACCCGTCTTACTGGTGGTCTGGGGGGAAGAGAGAAGAGCAGCAGATGAGACAGAGGAAAAATGAAATGCACACAAACTTGATGACAGGGTTTCGTGAACAGCCCCCACAGGAGGGCCTAATTCTTGGCAGCGTTCTGACTAGGGCGTAGCAAAAAAGAAGAAATAACCTGCACGGGACGGCCTGCCAGTTTCGGTTTAAACGTCAGGGATCTACGGCACAAACTTCGGATGTAGCTGCGTGGAAAACAATAGACAAAGAGACATAGTGGTGGATTTGGGAACAACCACGTTAGTGAAATCAGATGCAACCAGTTCTAACTGTTTTGACAATAAAGCGTTCGAGGGACGGCAGGGCTGCAGTTCGTTGCACG